GGGGGAGCGGGGGTGGGACACGAGAGAATTTGCTGTGAATCTTGTAGTAAAATGTGGGAATTGCTGGTGCTTGGGAGACAGGCTGATTATTGAAGAATATGTGAGGGTTTGGGAGGTCTTCCAGATGACTTTCCATCCCGTCATTCTCATTCTTATATTTTGCTGGACTTGAGGGAATTTCGGGGCACCCATGACTGTAGACAGAGGCCTTGATTTATTGTGATTCCTAGGTCCTCAGGCTTCATTCCATCACCCCCGCCGGCCCCCTGGCCTGGGCCTCTGCCTAGCTGGTTCGGTCTTATCCCAGGGATAAGGGATATTCCCTTTCCTGTGCTAACGAGATATTATGGTGCGTCGCCTTGTAGTGACCCCTGCTGTAGCCAAGAGGAGGGAAGCTGTTCAATCGGAAGGCAGAAGGGTCAGAATGGACCCCATTTTCTTTCTCCATCACTGTCTCCTCTTCTGGGTACCCCCTGCCCTGTCAAGTGAACGCAGGGGCAACTCGATTCTTTTTGAGGAGCTCTTGTAAGTTTCTTTTCTCTTTCTCAGGGGCCATGATTCTGAAGCTGGGACCTCAGACGGCTTCAGGAATTCTTCTTCTGAACCACTTGTCATGTCGTGTCCCTCCTTAGGGGCCGACGGTCACCTCCCACTGGCATTCACACCCTGCTTCATTTTACTGACCTCACTGCTTCTCTGCACACGCCCTGTCTGCAGGACGTCTGGTGCCCTGATGCCCACCAGACGCCATATTCCTCTCGTCTGTCTGCCTGTGAGCACGCACCCTCCTGGCACAGAACTCTGAGATTGATGGTGGGGGACTCGTCCACTCTTATTTTGTCTGTGTGAGCCTTGTGCCTCCTTTGAGATCCTGGACAAATGTCACACTCCTCAGGAAGGCTTCCTTGCATCCACACGCACTGCTGCTGAGTCCCCATAGATCAGGGACCATGTCCCACACCACCTGACACTGTAGCTCTCCAGGAATTGTTGGCTAATTGCCTCGTGAATGTTTATTTGTATCTCTGGACAGATTTCATATTTCCTACCAGAGACCATCATCTGCACTTTTCGTTTTATTTTCCTCGGCACCAGTAGAGAGTTAAGTGTTCAGCGGGAGTAAATGTTGACTTAACTCCATGTCTCCTTCCTAAGTGTTTTTTTATAAATACCACAGCAATGATTAACTCCGTCTGCCAGGGGATTGCAGGCTCTTCAGTATCCTGGAATTTGAGACTAACTTCATCTCTTTCCACAGGAATGCTTGGGGCCACTCTTTGTTTTGAATATAATATGTTATGTTTATCTTTTCGGGCAAGTCTATGCCAAATACATTTTTCTTTTTTTTGTATTAGTACAGGTTGCAAAATATATTCTCTACATTCATGGTGTTGTATAAAACTAGCTTCCAGTTTGGATCCACTTAAATTCATGGAATTTGGGCACACATACTGCTTCTGACGTGGTCAGGGGAAGGAGGGGGAGGAGGTGGTGGGAAGTTCCTGAGTTTGAAATTAGGTCGGTCACTCCTCAAAGAAGACATTTTCTTTTGTTTTTTTTTTTTCAAATGACATACTGATTAACCAAGCATTCCTGTATTCAAAATCCCCCAGCGTCACCCTGGACTGATATTCAATTGAGTTAAATTCATTCACGGACTCATTTTGTCTTTCCTTAAAATACATACACCTGCCATGTGCCAGGTACAGTTGTAGGCACTGCGGATCCAGCCGCAAATAAATTCACAGGAGAGAAGTCACAGAAGTGGCGATAAATGAGGAGGGCGTAGAGGCAGGTGACGGCGGACAGGGGCGAGATTAAGACACATACAGGCGTAACTCTAGTTCAGGGCAAAATATAAGTGACGCCAGAAGGGAACCGGCTTACTAGGCTGACTGTGACACGTTTACAACAGGGGCAAACTAAAAACACCCTTGAGAAGGAAGTGGCCTTTAGATGGCTTTCAAGAATGCCTCCAACCCCTTCTTTTCCGCTCTGCTTTACGACGTTGGGCCTGGGGCTCTGCAAACCTCATTCTCCTTTGCCAGCCACCAGCCTGGAAAAGAAGGGACTTGCTGCTTCCTGTTTGCTTCCTGTTCCTGGGGGCACCGAGGCAGCAAAATGTCTTCCCCCCGGGCAGTAGGAAATAATGACATCTGGATCTGGCTTGTTCAGTGGGAATTAAGAAGTGGGGAGAGGGATGCAAAATGGTGCAGCCACTTTGGAAGACAGTTTGGCAGTTTCTTACTGAAAATTGACTGCAGACACACCAGGTTTGGGGATGACATGCTTTAGGAATATAGTTATAGTAGCTTAAAAAAAAAGGCACAGCTGGGATTGAGTGGGTTGGGACCGGTAACTCAGCATTGCATATCTCCTCTGTCACTTTGGTCTAAAGCTAGAGGACTGGACCAGATAACGTTTTAGGTCTTTCTTCTTTATTTTCTAAAATTCTATGTTATGAAATTTTATTTTATTTTTTATTAATTTGTATATTGACTGTTTTCCCTCGATAGGATGTAAGCTTCTTGAGAGTAGGAGCAATTTCTATCTAATTCGCTGTCGAATCCCCATGGCTTAGAATAGACCTTAGGAACTAGTAAGAACTCAATCACTGTTGGTGAAAAGCGTGAAATCTCTTTGTTCCTTCCTGTTATTCTGTGGTATTTGTCCTCCTCTCTCTCATTTAAGATAATACCCTCTAGATCCATCCACATCGTCACAAAGGGCAAGATCGCATCCTTTCTTATGGCGGAATAATGTTCCATTGTGTATGTATTCCATACCTTCTTTATCTGTTCATCTATTGATGGACACTTAGGGTGCTTCCATATCTTGGCTATTCTGAACAATGCTGCGGTGAGCATAGTGGGGCAGATATCTTTTTAAATTACTGGTTTTGTTTTCTTTGGATACATATCGAGATGAAATTGCTGGGCCATATGGTAGTTCTATTTTTAACTTTTGAGGAACCTCTGTACTATTTTCTGTAATGGATGCACCAGTTTGCAATCCCATGTACAATGCACGAGGGTGCCCATCTCTCCACATCCTCACCAACACTTGTTATTTTTTGCCATTTTGATAACAGCCAATCTGACAAATATGAGGTGGTATCTCACTGTGGTTTTGACTTGCATTTCCCTGACAATTAGTGATGTTGAGCATCTTTTCACACGTCTGTTGGCCATCTGTATGTCCTCTTTGGGAAAATGTCTATCCAGGTAGTGATCGAGTACCTCGGAGTTTTTGAGCTCAAATGCACTACCCTCCTCTCCCTAAATTGTGTGACGATCTACCCAATGCGTCTGAGACTCAGATTCCTTTAGAATATCAGGCCTTTTCAGAATCCTTAAAATGTGCATAAGGTCCACTACACTTGTTGCTATTTCTGTTTTTTATTTTTTTTCGAGGACGGTCTTATGATTTGTTTTGGCTTTTGCTTTGTTTGGTAGAAATCTAGGTACAACAGTTTCCTGTTGCTGCTTTAACAAATTAGCACGTATTTAGTGGCTTAAACAACACGGAGACATTATCATACGGTTCTAGAGGTCAGACGTCCACAGTGGGGTTCACTGGGCTGAGATCAGGTGTTGACAGGAGCTGAGGCTCACGCTCAAGATCTACGGGAGTTGCACGTTTTGCCTGTTTTAGCTTCTAGAGTCGCATTCCTTGGCTCACGGCCCCTCCCTCCATCTTCAAAGCCGGCATCATAACATCTTCAAAACTCTTTTTCTTCTCCGACGTCCTACCTCCCTCTTAGAAAGACCTTTGTGATTACATTGGTCTCAGCTAGATAATCCAGAATAATCTCCCCAGCTCCAGGTTCTTAATTTAATCATATCCGTAAAGTTCCTTTTGCCATATAAGGTGACATAGTCACAGATCGAGGGGTTAGGAATTGGGTATCTTTGAGGGGGTTATATTATTCAGTCTACCACACTAGGCACCCTCCTGGTTTAGAAGGTGGGAAAGGAAATTTGCCCTGATCTTGAGAAGTGAAACCTGAGACATCAGGGTAATATGAAATAATATGGTTTAAGGCAGCAGTTCGCAACCTTTCTGGCCCCAGGGACCGGTGCTCCTATGAGAATCTGATATCTGATGCTCTGAGGAGGAGCTGAGGCGGTGATGCTGGCGCTGGGGAGCGGCTGCAGATACAGGTGAAGCTTCGTCCACTCGCCCGCCGCTCACCTCCTGCTGTGTGGCCTCGTTCCTAATAGGCTACGGACTGGTACCGGTCTGTGGCCCAGGGGTTGGGGACCCCTGGATTAAGGGATAAATTAAAAATCATCTATTCTTTCATTATTTTTAATAGTACTACTTATAAATACTTAAACATTTTTATTAAAGCATGAAGGCAATATATCTTGTTAGAATGTCATCTATTCGGCAAGGGTTCATTGAGCCTATATTAGGTGCCAGGCACTGTGAAGTTCCAGGGTACAGAACCAAGTGTAAGTTACATTTGCTTTCCAGAAAGTTCAATTTCGTGGGGCAGAAAGAGAAGGAAATGGGTAATTTCATTAGTCCGATAAATGCAATGAAAGGTACACAGAGCGTTAAGGAACATCACAGGAGCCACACCCACCCCCTTGATCCAAGGAGCCTGGAGAGAACATCTCAGACATACTCATCGGGGCTCAGCCAGAGCAGAACCACCGGGGGTTTGACCGTCAGCCGTCGTGGGAGCAGCTAAGTGGTACCTGTAAGGCTGCTGTCTTCACATCTGATGCTGGAGCTTGAAGTCCACAGGGCAGGTCATTGGGACGGGGAGGGAGGGTGGGATTCAAGTGGGAGACCGAGGACCAGGTGGAACCCGCTCGCCGGGACCGTGTCAGTCTCCTGCTGCCTCCAGTGTGGACGGCGTCGAAGACGTGGGGGTGAAGGGGAGAAGCCGGCATCCTTTGTCAACAGAACTGGTTCCACCTGTCTCAGGAGTCGGAGAAGCCAGTGGAGGAGCCGAGGGAAGGCGGCGTGACTGCTGTCGCGCACCAGTGAGGGAGCCCGCAGAGAAGCGAGGACGCGCGTGAACTCCCAGCTGACACGTTACGAACCCACGACACCCACGAGGACCGAGGGCCGGCGGCTCCCACCTGACCTCTCGTGGCGTCCCCAGGCGGAAGTGGGTTGTCCGAAGGCGGCATGCAGGGCAGGGAGGAGGGTACAGTGAGCCTGGAGCCTGAAGTCGAGCGAGGTCACCGGACGTCAGCATTTACCTGTCGGCTTTCTTGCTCACCCGGGCAGAGCGTCCGGCTGGATCCTGATGGCAGTGGGGGACCAGCACCTACGAGGGGCTGTCTGGTTGTCATTTCACAGCGTGCTGTTGCCCTCGGGTCTCCAGCCACCGCTCCCCCTCCCACTTCGTGCCCCCCGTGCCTCTACCTAGAATACGTGTCCCTGCCCCTTCCCTCTTCCCCCGCAGGCTCCATTCATCTCAGGAGGATGGAAGTAACCGAACCGCGTGTCCCTACTGTGACCTTCTTGAGGATGAGAACCTTGTCTATGTTCCCAGAATGTCCTCACCGCCTGGCACAGGGTCTGGCACTGAGAAGGCGCTCCGTAGACGATTACCGATTGAGTCAAGTTCCAAGAGCTTCTCATCACTCTGTTTATATGATTTGTCAATTTTATTTGAAAGAAATTTGAAAGAATGGGTGTGACGAAGGAGGAAAGGCTTCTGGTCACTGTCACACCTAGAGAGGCCACGGATTTCTACATTGGGAGGCAACGAGGAAGGGACAGGAAAGGGGCTTCTGTCATCCTTCAGGAGGGCATCTACGAGCAGACCCTCCTCCGAACCGTGCTCCGAGGCACCGGCGCACGTCTCAGTCTTGCAGGTAGTCCTCGTAATTCTCATACGTGAGGCCTTCCTTGTCATTCTTGATTTCTTTAGTGCCCGTAGGGCTGCCTGTCAGGTTGCTGGGCCAGTTATAATTATAAAGAGGCTTCACTTTTGGGATATAGATGAAGCGAAACAGTTTTTGGAAACTTTGTTTCATATTGGTGGGGGTCAGATTTCGGGCTACTCTCCTAAAGAGCATTTGGGTTATTTCTGCCAACTTCCTGATCACAGGGTCTTCATCCCGGACCACCCGTTCAATAGCTGTAATGGCAGAAGGGCCCTTAGTTCAAGGCATCAATCTAGAGGCAGAGACGCTGTAACAAACAGCCCCACCACCCCTCAGAGCCCTGCTGTGTCCCCTCCTCCTCCACCCCTCGATTGTCATTACTGCGACTACCAGCCTCCAGGGAGTTTTATTCAGACATCATTAAAACAAAAAAATGGAAATATTCACTGAGCATTTATGGAGCGGCTATCGTGTGCTGAGCGTTCTGCTAGGCAGCAGACATGTGTGTTCATGAAGAGGTTCAATATTGCTCATAATAATGAGAAAAGTCAGACTGAGTCTAAATGTTCAACAGTAGAGAAATACCGAACAGTTAAGACTATCCCAACATGAAATAGCGCACACGAGTTAACACGATGATACAGAGTCATATTTCTCACGAAGATGTTTATGATGGAGGAATAAGTAAAAAAGGTTATAAAATGGTTATGATAGTTTTAAAAATAACTACATAGTAACTTATACTCTTTAAAATTCTTTGATTACATATATATACACATATACATACACACACACACATCCCCGCAACATGCCAGATACTGGGTTTGTGGGAAATTATTTCTTTTTTTCTTCAGCGGAATTAGGGAAGAAAAAGAGAGAGATTTATTAAAAAGAGAGAGAGGAGAAGGAGCTAGAGTGGGACAGAAAAAAGACAAAGATTCTGAGAGACACAGAGGGGAATGATAATGCTGAGCATTTAGCAGGCAGTCAGTAAATACGTGTGGAATGAACGCGTGAATAAATGAACGAACGAAAAAGGAGAGAAGATAGTGATGTGTCAGGGTGGGTTCATCAAGAACCAGTCCGGTGGGGGACACAGATAATGGGGGGCTGTGCATGTGTGGGGGCGAGTGCGTGGGACATCTCTGTACCTTCCACTTAATTGTGCTGTAAATCTAAAACTGTTCTAGAAAATAAAGCCCTTTATTTAAAAAAAAAAAAAGAAGAAAGGCGGCCACCTTGTGTTCGGCCTTGCCTGTTTGTAATTCTGACCCCTGTGGGGAAATAGAGGCTGAGAGAGAGATGCCGAACATCCAGACATTTTGATAGGATAAAACAGTATCTTTCTTTAATTCCTTCTGGTGCAGGTATACATTGTATCTCCTAAAATGTCAATCCTCGGAGGGAAGGGATTTCGTTTTGTTTTCTGTGGTATCCCCGGTGGCTAGAATAGTGCTGCTGTTGCACAGCAGATGCAATGATTTCGTTTAAAATTCAAAGACAAAGATTCTGAGAGACACAGAGGGAGAATGATTTCGTTTTGTTTTCTGTGGTATCCCCAGTGGCTAGAATAGTGCTGCTGTTGCACAGCAGATGCTGGAAAAACTTTTGTGGAATAAATGAGTGAATGAGTCCTCAACTGCCTAATGGACTCTAGGATGAAAAGTCTGAGAGAGAGAGGGAGAGAGAGAGGAGGAGGAGGAGGAGGAGGAGAGAAAGAGAGAGGGAGGAAGGGAAGGAGGAAGGAAAGGAGGGAGAGAGAATAGAGAGGGAAAAAAAGATGCCCCTTAACCCATTTTTCCATTGATTCTCCCCACTAACTACCACCCAGTTCCCACCCATTATAGAACTCATGTGAATAGAATCACAAATAGTGAGTTTATTTAGACCTCTGCATAAAAATTTCATTATAACTTCAACACTTACCTTCAAGCATGACGTCAATTTCATCTTTGAGCAGTAAATGGCCACCCAGTGCTGCCAAGTAGCCTGTGCACAAAGTAAAACCCCAAAATACATTATGAAAAAAAGACATTTCTCTGGCATAACATGGCTACCTTCATTGCTTTCTTCAAAGCAAAACATCTCTAGATTCTCCTTGAGTCCTCTTTTAGTGCTCTCAAATACTTATTAATAAAACTTTTTTTTTTGAAACGTACGTGCGTGTGTAAATGAATGTGCCATGTCGTAAATGCATAGCTGGATGAATAGCCACAAGGAAAACATGTCTGGCTGCCACCCACATCACTAAACAGAGCCGTAGCGGCATCCCAGAAGCCTCTCTCATGCCCTTTCCCAACCTGCTCTTCACGCTCCATTCTTTGGTGTCTGTCTTCTTCTGCCCAACATTACCTGAGATTCATCTGTGTTCTTCAACGGAGTAGTAATCCACTCATCTCCACTGCTGCCTGGCAGAGGTCGGCCAGCAAAGTGTTCCTAAAACGCAGCCCCACGCTCGGGCTCAGTTGTGTACGTAGCACGTCCGGACGCTTTCGCCCACAGCAGCAGAGTGGAGTAGTTGCGACACAGACCGTATGGTACTCAAAGTGTCAAAAATGCACTGTGGAGCCTTTTCCAGAAAGAGTTTGCCGACCCCTGCTATGTGACAGTCCCTCCCAGTGACGCAGCATCGTTCATCCGTTCCGCCGAGGGTGGACCATGTGTCGTTTCTGATTTGGGACTAGGTGATGTCACATGGGCATTCTCGTGCATGGATTTCGGTGTGCGCTAGTGGGAACCGATGTCGGGTGGATAACTAGCAGTAGACTTACTGGCTGATGGATATGCTCATGTTCACCTTCAGTTAACAGTATGAAGTGGTTGTGCCAGGTTTTAGCCCCTAGCAGTGACGGAACATGCCCATCGCTCTGCATTCTCTCCACCCTTAATATTTTTAGCCTGTTCGGGTTTGGTGGTAGCATCACATCGTGATTTTAATTCGCTTTTTTGTGATGATTCATAGAGTTTTGTATATTTTTTGGCCATATGGATATTTCTTTTGAGGAATGCCTGTTCAGTTAAGTCTCTGTCCCATTTTTATAATTGAGTTATCTTTTTCTTATTTGTTTGTATGCATTTTTCACTCTGGATACTAATCTTTTTCAGTGTTTACATGCCTTACAAATAACTTCTCCTTTCCCACGGCTAAATTTTTTCATTTGTGTATATTTTTTTGATGAACAGAAGTCTTTAATTTTAATGTAGTCCAACTTATCATCTTTTTATTCTCCTACATTTACTTCTGGAAGTTTTATTGTTTTACCTTTCACACTTTTGGATTATAGATCCAACTGGAACTATGTGGCATACAGTATAGGTCAAGATATTTTTTCTCTGCCCATGTAATTAAGCCAGCACCATTAAGAGAAAAAACTCTCCTACTGCTTTGCAGGCTTCACCGTATATGTGTGGATCTGTTTCTAGGCTTTTTATTCTGTTTCACAGGTCTGTTTTGCTTTGCTTGAGTAACAGACTATCTAAAATTCTGTAACTTTATAATAAATCGTTATATCTGATGAGACTAGTAGCCCACATTTTTTCTTCAGGAGTTATCTCGGCTTTTTTTTTTTTTTTTCTCTTCCATATACATTTAGAATCAACTTATCAAGATCTATGAAATTAGCTGTTGGTATTTTTATTTTCAGTTTTATAAAGCTTGTTGATCTGTCTTTCGCAACAGGTGTTCAGTGGGGACTCTTGATGAGATAATTTGTGAGTTACACTGTCACGATTATTACTGAATATTAAGCATACCCATTGAAGGCATTAATGGGCGTTGACTGCTGTACCAACCTGGACGCACACTGGCAAGGGAGCATGGGAGGTGCAGACCGTAGAGGTCAGCCTTTGAGGCCTGGAGGAAAGCAAAAAATCGGGGAGAACAGATCGGCAAATGGAAACCTTACAGTTAAGTAAATACTGCTTGTCCTTTTGCAATAGTTTATCCATTCATTCTTTAGTTGGCTGAATCTCATACTTGAATGACTTCTTGAGTTCTCGTGTTTTTGAAAAATTTTTCCTGTTGTCTTCATAGTTGGTTATGATTTTGCTGACTATGACATTCTTCAGCCACAATTTTTTTTCCACTTAGGATTTTGTAGGCTTTATTCTACTATATTTTAGAGTTGAATACTGGAGTTGAGAAATCTAACGCCAGATTTATTTATTTTTTAACTTTTTTTTTTTTGCCTAAATGCTCAGCCAATTCTTTAACTCTGAAGTTCCATAACTTTATTAGGAAATATCGTAATGTTGCATTCTGTATAAAATATTTCTTGAAAAATTATTTACCATCTCAGTATCTTTAATCAGGTCTTTTTTATTAAATTATATCTTCGAATGCTTTTTCTGTTCTCCTCGTTTATTTCTTTTCTTCATTGATGCATATTTACATTTCTTTCATTAACCTTTGTATCTACCATTGCTCCTTAATTTTTCAAGCTGTTTCTTGCTGGTTTTCATTTCATTTTGCTAACATTTCTCAGCCCTGTATTCCTTGTCCCTTA